GATGGCCACAGCCATTAGCGGTGCGCTTGGACTTTTCTTCCACCATAGAAATTCTAATTTTCTCTATTCTTTTTATAAATAAATTTAACTCTTCCAATTTTTATTCAGCGGATTCCACACTAAAGTGAAGGTGATTATATGTTACCCGTCGTTTACTTATTAGTTTATTTATATTGTGCTGTCTGTTATGCAAATTATTAGCATATATGTACTATAAATTTAATACTTTTTTTGTCTCATAAATAGTCAGAATTTGATTTTTTTTTTTTTTGTGTTTCCCTCTTATATTTTAAGATCAGAGGAACAAATCCATGCCAAGCCCAAGTTCTCATAAGTGTACTCAAACCATATGGCAGGGTGTACTGTGCTTAATTTTTAGGTATAAAGGCATTTGTGATTGTGATGCTCCAAGGAGAATTGGATACCCTTAACGAAGCTATACCCTGATACCTGCGACATAGAGGCCTTGAAGATGAAAAGCAATCAAGAGAAACTTGAAATTCTGTAGTTTCCCTCTGACATTAGATGGAATATATCTTGTTGTGCTTATGGTTAGGTCTACCACTTTACCTATGCTTAAACTCTATAATTAAGGACATGGCTCAGCTCAGCTACTTTTTTTATTTTATCACCTCCATTCCCACACATGCATTATTAATCTTTCTCTTTTCTTCTAACCTTTTCGAATCTAAGATTAATACAAATAGCAGTGCTGGAAGTTGGATGGTGGATTAATTTGGGCGGCTGGTTGTAGGCACGGTACTGTTAGGCTGCTTAGATAATGGTGAAGCATGACGACGACCAGGCCGGGCCGTGGCGACTGCAGTATTCTATGTCTTAATTACATTGACTATATTAATTTACAAGTAGAAGCATATTACCTTTCTGTATTTACTCTAACCATTCTTCTCTCAAAAACATTTCAAATGCTGTAGGATAACCAGCTAAGAAATTACATGAAATTAACATTTGAGCGCAGTAACAAGTTAGTTAAGGTTTGTTATGATAAACGCCCACTCAATTAACATCTAAGCAAACAGAAGCATAATCAGAAAAAAAAATTCATCCATTCAAAAAATAAGAATTTACTACGTTCACGGATGAAAGAAAAAGAATTTACTAATTGTAAAGAAAAGCAAGCATATCAACAAATCATCAACAATCAAAACCCAAACTCGCACCCATAAAACAATTCTGAATTGAAACACATAAGAATACTCTTACTCGGTCTCAACAAGCACATTCCCATATAGTTCAATAACCAGACACAAAATCACATACATGAGCACTCAATGTTGGAGTCATGTTGAAGCTGAGGCCCTCTAAGATTTTTGAAAAATTTTATTGTCAATGCATATATACATACACACACACTAGATTTCTAATTTACTAATGACTCCTCAAAAACATAAAATACGAACCCCAATGATACGCAAATATTCAATTTCAAAATTCCAGCCAATTACCAAAAAATATTTCACTATAATACCTGAAAAAACCCTTGAATTATTGAAGAAAATCGAATAAATTGTTATTCTTTTATTACATTTGATCAACCCTTTATACTTTTTTTTTGAGTCAAATATTCTCCTATGATTAACGGTTAACTAAGTGTCATTAGTCAAACTGGGTCTTGTCATTTTATACCCACATGATGACAATAACATGGAGGGTAACAAATGTCATATGATCATGTCATCATGTCTTGTCATCATTATTATGATATGAGAACATGTCACGTCAACATCTTATAATACAAAACAAATGATATTTTAACTAATAAAAATTAGTAAACCATTAGTTATAAAAGCTTATTTGAGTCAAAATAAAAGTAAAAGGACTTAATTGAATGCAATAAAAAAATAAGAGATTATTTAAATTTTTTTAAATAATTTAGGGGTGTTTTTAGGTATTATGCCAAGAATTTACTATAATTTAGTTCTCATTTTTCAACCAAAAAAAAAAACTACAAGAGAAATGGATTTTAGCAAACACACCTACATTCTAATAGACTAATAAAATAATATTATCCTTTTGATTTCCCTGAACAAGAGAAAATAAACTTGAAGTTCCATTGCAACATTATAAACTCAATGCCCTAAATTATTTTAAATTGTGGGATTTATCTATAATTTCTAAACTATGCCAAGGATTGGTAAAGACGTAAATATCAAAAGTGTATTTTCTTGTTGATAGATTGATTCACCTTTTTATTGACTCTTTCAATTTCTATTGAAAGAGCATTTTCAATTATAACAATTCTCGAAAGAAAACCTCACAACAAAATGGAGGATGACTTTCTTCTAGAGAATCTTATTGTCTACATTGATAAAGGAATAGCTAAAACTTTTTTGACTCTTCTTAATGATTTTGTTTCTATGAAAGAATCTGGTGCACAATTTTAAATAAATGCATTTAACTTCTCTCCATTTGTAATAGTTAATTTTTTTTCATTTTAGTACTTGAACTTTTATGTATGTCGTCTATGTTTATATTTCACATATTACTTTTTATTATTTTTTCATAAGATAATACTATACATCAATTATGCTCAATAAAACTTTTAACGTTAAATTCTTTACTATAGTTTGGTCACACCAAATTTGAAATTTTGACTTCATATCTGTGAGCACTCTTGCTCGATCTCAACACATCTTAACCAAACGTTAAACATTCGCACTCATGATCTCTCCCTTAACCTCATGACGTGCCTACGCATCCAACCTTTTAAATTGTAGAACTCTAGTTCTTTCTCTCATAACTCACCCTT